CTTTCAATTAAAAGCAAACTTAACTTTGTAGAAGGCAAATTTATAGGGTTTGGTTTTCATGTTTCACATTTTTGTCCCCTAAAAACACTACCTACATCTGGTTAAAAATGCTTTCTTCATATATTTTTGTCTAAACTTCTATAGCTTATTTTTTTTTCCTACTGATGTCTATAATTTTCTTTGCCACTTTCTAAGTATAGAGTGCAGTAAAGATTAAGGTTTACAGCTTTTTAATATGTATGTAAATTAATCTAACACATTTGTGCCAAAAGATTATCCTTCCCTCAATATTCTTCCACTTTAATTAGAAATTAATTGAGCATTTATGAGTATTACTGTTGGATTCTACTGTTCTGCTGACTGATATGGCAGTTCTTCAGAATACAATGCCGTATTTGTTAGTTTACCTTTATAAATTGCAGTTTATAGCGACTTCTGAAGTAATTTAATTCTTTTAATTTTGTTCTTTTTCAAGTATTCTTGCCTATTCTACAAAAAGTCTTAGATTTTATTTGGAATTCTGTTGAATCTACAGATTAAATAAGGAGAACTGCTACCTTAGCAGTAACATCTTCTGATCCATTTGCTTCTGATAGATCTCCATTGATTTAGGTAATTTCCAGATCTTGAAAATAATTTCTTAAACTCATCGGCACAAATTCATATTTCTTGTTGTATATAAACTATATTTCTAATTGTTTATAGCATAATTAACTTTTGTATATTGATCTGAATACTCTGTAACATTATTTCTCATAGCTATTTTATTGATTTCTCAGTATATTTTACTTAGGCAATAAGGTTATCTTCTTACAGTCACATATTGACACTGAACTTAGATAAATGTTGTTTATCTTGTTTTTGTTGTTGTGGTTGTTGTTGTTGTTGTTTTTGGGTACCAGGGATAGAACTCAAGACCTTGCACTTGTGAGGCAGGCGGAGGAACCACTGAGCTAATTCCCTGGCCCGATCTTGTTTATCTTGTGATGATCATGTTTTGCTGTTTTTAGTTTGCTTAAAAGGTAAATTATATTAATTAAGAAATATTAACTGAATCTTTCATTTCTAAAATGAGCCCAATCTGATCACAATCTGTTATATGGATTCTCGGAATTTGATTTGTATAATTTTGTTAAATAGTCCTTCATCTATATTCATCTGAGTATTGGTGTCTCATTTTCTTCAATATCATTACTTTATTTTGATAATGTCTTAAACTGGATTTCTAGAGTGAATTGAAGCTGTTATTTTTTCTACTATCTTCTAGAGGACTTTGGGTTGATTGATAATTATTTTTTCCCAAATGTTAAATACAAATTACTAGTGAAGTGATCTGGACCTGGATTGTGAAGGCCCAAAAAGTTGTTCTTAGCTATGAATTCAATTTCAGTTTTAAAAAATAAATTAAAAATATTTCAAATATGAATTGAATTTTTAATAGAGAAACAGGTGAATAATATCTATATCTACTGAGGTATTGTTTGCAGTTCATGTCTTCTACAAAATTTGTCCATTTAATGTGTTGTTAAATTCATTGCTATAAGTTTGTTTATAAAATTCCGTTATTTTTTCTAATATCTGTATTATCCTCATGTTTCTTTCTCTTCATGTTGTGTTCAATGTGACTAAAGATTTATTAATTTTATTGTTTTCTGTACCAGCTTTCTTTCATCATTTGTATTGATTTTTGTTTTCTATCTTTTGCTTACTTTAAGGTTAATTTGTATTTTTCTAGTTTCTTAAAATAGAAGCTACTGCCATTAATTTTTGAATGCTTAATTTAAGTACCATAGTGCTATATATTTCCTATTACTTACTCTTTCATTGAAACTTGACAGATGTTATACATTGTTTTCCATTTATTCAATTTAACACACTTTAAATAATGTCTATGATTTCTTTGATTCTTGTATTATGTAAAAAGTTATGGTTTGACTTCCAGATATTTGAGGATAACCCATATATCCTTCTGGTATAGATTTCTACTTTTATTTCAATGTGGCCAGGGAATATATGTTGTATGACTTAAAGAACTTTGAATTGATTAGAATTTTTTGGTGGACAAAGGGTCATAGTGAATGGTGTTTGTGTAACTGAAAAGCTTACTGTTCTGTTAATCTTAGGTTGAATGGCCTACTAGGGACAATATAGTCAATTTGCTAGTCGTTCAACTATTCCACAAACTTATTGTTTTTCTGTTTATTTTCTCCATTGATTAAGGACAGAAAAGTCTGAAAATTTTCTATTGTTTTAGACTTATTTCTCCTTTCATTTCTGTTAATTTTGTTGTGTGTATGTTGAAGCACAGATTTGATTTTAGTGAAATTGCATTGGGGATTGTTTTTTTCCTGTTGGTGAACTAAAGACTATCTATCAATGGTAACATAAAGCTATGATTTTCTTTTCTTGGTTGTATGCATTTCTCTGAAATATACCTTTTTGTATTTATGTAGCCACTGTATCTTGATTTTGAGTCATTTTATATGATGCAAATATTTCCAGTTTTCACTATTAATTTATTGTCTCCTTAAAAGTAATTGTGATAAAAATTTAAAGGTAAACCTTGTTCTTTTTACACAACATAACAATTTCTATCTTTTATTTGAAGTATTAAAACCATTTACTATGTTGCAATTTTGGTATAGTTGACAAAAGTTATTGAGACTTTATTTTGCTCTTTGTAAAAACATTGACCAAATATTTTCTTTGTAAGAAAGTTCCCTATTAAACATCACATATTTTTTATTGCACATAGAGCATTTTCCTTTTGTATAATTACATCAGTCAGACAGATTGCTTTTATTTATGAACTACATGATCTGTTCTCTTGTGATTTTTAATTTACATAAAATTCTAAGAATAATTATGGCTATGTGATTATTATTTTTCTTTTTTTTTACTCTTTATCCTTCTATTTGAAAGCTTTTAGACATGTAAAACAACTTTTGTAATTCTATAGAGAAAGGTGATTCCACTATTTTATGACAGTGTCAGTTTTTACACAGAAAATGAAATGTATGTGGCTTTGCAAATGCATATGACAGATTTACTAAAATATTAACATCATCATCTTTTAGTTGATTTATTCTTCTTTGGGTTGTATTTTTAACCATCAGAAGTCACTCATCCATCTGTCCCACAAAATATGACATAGAATAAATTTAAACAAAATGATTTTTCCTAAAAGATCAATATTTCTGATGAAATGTAGAGCTAGGAAAGGTTCTCAAATACAAACATGAAAAGTTGTTCCTCTCATGTTTGACTTCTCCAGCAATAAATATTGGGTATTTTAAAAAAGTTTTATTAATTCTGTCAAACTACAAACTCAATAATTTCTTTCCCATGCTTCTCTGTTGTGACTATAACTAAATACCACAGACTAACAAGGTAATTTATAGAGGTTTACTTAGCTCATAGTTCCAGAGGTTGGAAAGTGCAAGAGCAGAGCACTGACATCTGATGGAGGCTTTCTTATTGCATCATAAGATGGTTGTGAGCATCTATTCTCTGGTATGTTTAAAGTGGTCACAGATCACTGGCCTCCGCCTTTCAATGCCCCTCATGATGTGTAACATTCCTATGCATTTATAAACATGTTTTTGTAAAGGACATTCTCTTTGCTTCGGAGGAGAATGCATCTTCCTTGAAGATAGAAAATGTATGTGCTTTGTTTGGCTCTGCAACCCAGCACCTAGAACAATGTTGATGATAAAGCAAATAAATGAACACATGTAATTCCTATAACATCCTTATCGTCAGTGCTTCATGTATTCTAATCTCTTCTCTTATACTGGAAGAAACTGAAACCATGACAAATAAGTGATTTGTCCAAGGCCCTGGAATTGCTTAACTGCTTGAAACTGAACTCACGGGCCTTGTTCCTACTAACAAACACCAATAAGCTAATCACTTTTGCTTGTCTTTGTTAAGTTTTGCTGACTTTGATACCTAGGCTAGAGAAAAGAATCAGTAGCACTCAGTGTGAAACTGAGGTACTTCTGAGCTACAAGAAGGTGAATACAGCATGCTAATTTTGTATGTAGTTGGGTAGGTCACTTCCCTTTTCCAGACCAAGGTCTCTTCAGCTGTAAAGTATTCAGAATAAAACATCATGAGGATCTCTTTTTGTTTTAATAGTCTATCATTCTTCCATCTCTTGCATCCAAAATTTGTACTTAAGAAATTAGCACACGAGAGCTAGAAGGGACACTAGAATAATCTTCTCTAACAGTGCTGAAGCCTGCCTCTTGGGTCACATAGTAGGTGGAAGGAATCTAATATGAACCCTCATCTTTACTAATTAGCACAGGATATCTTCCATAACAGGAGGACTGATGCTGGCACCATCACAATAGTCACCTTGGTGAGTTTTATTTTGTGGTACCTGGGATGCAACTCGGCTCCTTGCACTCGCGCAGCAGGAGGTGAAACCACTGAGCTAAATCCCTGGCCTATTTTGATAAACATCATTTTAGCTGATGTTACATTCCCTTTAAGGAAATTTACTCTATGAGATTCCTTTATTTTTAAAGTGGAACATAGACAATTGATGCTTTGGATATTGTGTTAGGAAGGACAAATTCCCATCTAACTGTGACTATTTCTGAATTTCCAGTTAAATCCAAGCCTTTGGATTTGAACATAGTTTTCTTTTGGAAAAAGAAAACACAACCTCAGTGGCACAATGAGCACTAGACTTAGAGTCCAGGAACCTGGATTTTACTCTCCCAGTTTTGGAAGTTGTAAGTTATTTGACTGAGGTTCCAACTGTGTATGTTCTAAAAATAGAGAATAGTTTTATCTTCCTCATATTTTGGTATTGAAGAGTATAGAATATCATAAATGGAAAAGCAATTCTTAAACTTTAAAATCTTTAAAATTTGATAGGAGTAGTCATTATTTTCAAATTACAGCAATTCTTAGAAGCATTTGATATCCAAATGCAAAATAGTATGTCATCCATTGAAAAGAAAAGCACTTTACGGCTGTAGGAGAAGATGGCGGTCTCCACAGGAGTTAAAGTTCCTCGTAAATTTCACTTGTTGGAAGAACTTGAAGAAGGACAAAAAGGAGTAGGCGATGGTACGGTTAGCTGGGGCCTTGAAGATGATGAAGATATGACACTTACAAGGTGGACAGGCATGATTATTGGGCCACCAAGGCTGGAATAATTAAGGAAAGCTGAACAATGGAGGAAGTTGCCTTTGGAATGAGCCTTAAAGGACTGACTGGTAGGATTTCTGAAGGTGCTGATTGGGAAAACATTCCAGATAGAGAGGAAAAAAGACAAATTATGAAAACAGAATATATAGCCTGAAAGTAGAATGTGGACCTAAATACCCAGAAGCTCCTCCATCAGTTAGATTTGTAACAAAAATTAATATGAATGGAACAAATAATTCCAGTGGAATGGTGGATGCACACAGCATACCAGTATTAGCAAAATGGCAGAATTCATATAGCATTAAAGTTGTACTTCAAGAGCTAAGACGTCTAATGATGTCCAAAGAAAATATGAAGCTTCCACAACCACCAGAAGGACAAACATACAACAGTTAGTTTTAGTGGATCTCAAACTTGTCTTAAATCAACAACCTTCTACTCATATTAATGTCTTGATTAAATATCACAATGCAAAATACCCACACATTAAGTAAAAGAATTCCAGCTGGTAAAGATGACCTTGACATTTGTAATAATATATTTAATATATGTACACCCATTATGTATTCAGCTAACAGAAGGAAAAATGTGGCACAATTTTCCTTTCTCTTAAAGGCACTGTCACTTAAACATGAACCTGGAGTACTTCAAATAGAATTCAGGTTTACAAGATGAAAGGATGGCAAGAATTGTCAATGTCAGTGGAAACACGTGTTTCTGAAAAGTAAAATCTCAAGAAGGAAAAACAGAAATGGCATGCTTATCCATCTTGCTTAGTGAAAGAGCTACAGTTTGAAATTGTTCAAAGTAGCAGGTACAATGAATATTGTCACAAATTGTGTTAATTTTTGAAGCAATGTGGGTGCTGACTACTAGTAGTACCAAAAATATGTTCAGGATTGTTTTGATACCTATATTTATAATAAAAAATGTTGGGGGGGTGATGAATTTCTGTCAAAAGCTGTTCCTGTGTGTTACATGTAACAGACATGGTAAATATTTGTTTACAGTCTTTGTTAAGTAAACCATGCATTTAAGTTTAGGTGAAGTCAACAAAAGGAAATAGGTGTATGGATAGGTGATTTTGAGATTAGTCTTAAAATGTAAATAAAATGTGGAATGTGTCCTCAGAGACTGTGCCATTTCTATTATATTGATGTAGTATATGTACAGTACCTTGCCAAGGTAGCAAGAATTGGAATTATTGATTGTAGCTTTTCATTGATATATCCCATATATTATTTATCCTATTTTGTATACAGTACTTGTGAATCAGAATTTGCAGAGTATTAGCAAATTATATGATTAGTTTAATTTCTTCTTTGGAGAAGGAAGAATCCCAAATAGCTTTTCATTGATATACCCCATTTATTATTTATCCTATTTTTTATACAGTACTTGTGAATTGGAATTTTCCGAGTATTAACAAATTATATAATTAGCTTAATTTCTTTAGAAAAGGTGGAATCCCAGGCATTATATTTGAATTTGATTTCACCAGATATAATATTATTACAAAGATTTTTGAATTCTAGCCATTCTTACAGAATGACAGATTGCATATAATTCAAATGTACATTCTTTTTTTTCTTAGCAGATTTTTATTTTCCTGTGAAACTTTTGGTTAATAGATTGAACTAATGGAGACATTTCCTTCTCTAGTTAATGATTTTAACATTTTCATCCAAGCTCCATTCTAACAAGTATGTAATTCTGAAGTTGGAGATTCATTTCTGTTCTACTTTTACCAAAATGAGACAGGGCTTTAGGCCACTGATTTTACTTCAAAGCACTGGGTACACCGCTGTGTTGGAAAATGTTTCCTTATGAATTTACTGAAGAATACCACAAGGTAGTCTGGTAAAAATCTCCTTTCATTTTGGCCAACTTGTCTTATCCTTCACCCCAGAATATATAGGCAAACCAAAATCATGATTGTCAAAATATCAAATGAGATATTCTAACTTTACTTATAAAGGAAAAATAATTGACTTTTTATTCTTTTGAAAATATTAAAGTATTATAGTTACTTTTATAGTATAATAAGGACAGATTTCTCAAACATACCCTGACGTTTTTATCAAGCTCAAAGCTAAAGCCTTGAACAACTTTTTGTTAGTCAACAGTGTATTAAAGTCAGTGACAGTTTGTCTAAACTTAAAAAAAAAAGAAAAGAAAAGCACTTTAATTATAAACATTCTGCAATATGAGTTAGATTTTCTTGAGTGTGTATGAAAGGAAACTTTAAGAAAAACTGGTGACAAAAAATGTCATCAGTTATTCTGTAAATTAAAAACATGGACAGCAAAATAAAATTCCTTTTAATTTCCCTTAGATTCAGTTATTTTTCAGGATTCTGTGATATTTTTATATTACATTCTTGATGGAAATATATCCTGTATAAATGTTACTTTTGATCCATGTTTAAGAATTTATGGCATGTAAGCAAATAATAGATCTCTTCAATATAATCACATTATAACTTGTATCCTAATTAACTATACCACTCTTTTAAATTAGTTTTGTATCTATTTACCTTATTAGATTTTAATCACTAAATATAATATCTGTGTGTTTTTAAGTAAAACTACTTTAAGCAAAGATAATTTGAACCAGCTCTCTTTATTTTATAGATTAAGAAACTGAAAAAAACCCATCATGTATGGAAGATATTGTGTATAAATACATAATTCTATATTTCAGAAATCTGATTTCCTCCCAATATATTGGACAGTAATATACTCAAGAAAGATTAGCCCTGTCCTACCCCAAGGTGTAAATACACCATAGATGTGAGCTAATAACTGTATTCTTACTTCCTTTGCCAAGGATTAACTTAGGCATAGGCAAGTAAACATAGACCTCAACAATGTTTTAGAAGAGAAAAATCTGTTAAAAGTTCAAGAAAATAAGTTTTTCCCAATAATAAGCTATTAGGAACATGGCATTAACCCATTTATCTCTTTCTACTCCACTCTTCTTTCTTTGTCCTCTCCTCCTTTCTTTCTCTAACATTACTAAGTTATTGAATTAACAGTTTTATCTCCATGTTTGTTTATAAGTTTAAGTAATGACCTTGTGTATTGGTTTAAATTTAGAAATTAGTTTTATAAAACTGTTAAAGAATCCCTGCTTGCAAAGAAGGCATCCAATTGACATTAAATTGAGTCTCTAGCATTGATGATGTTAATGTTAGAATCTGTGGTCTTTCACGATCCATGAGAATTACTCTGTGACATAATTTTAGGCTCATTTTGATTTCACAAGCTCTAACACTAGATCTCCAGTCCTCTTGAAGACATAAACTATTATGTTTTTATTTCCTTTCTCAGCTTAAATTAGTCAGATTTAATTTTTATTGCTTGCAAAGAAGACCTATGATTGAAGTGGTAAATAAATTTCTGAAAGCTTAATAAGCAATCATTCACAGAACTGGGATACCCAGATGAGAACATAGTTCTCGATTTAATCTAATGAAACACAGAGGTTAAACAATACCAAAAAAGTGAACCATCTCAGCGTTTAAAGAAATGACTCTCTAGAAAGATGAACAAAGCATGGACACAGCTTGTGTAAAGTAAGGAAGCTATGTTAAGTATTTCAAAAGAAATGCCAAGACTTGAGTGAGAAATTACACTTCTGAACTTTCCATTCCAAACTGGAACTTTACTTTAGATAAATTTTCCAAATATCTCATTGCACAAATTTTGATAGCATCCAAATAATCATCACAAATAAACAAATTCAGGTAAAGGTGGATTTACAAGGGCTGAATTAAGAGACCCAAACATTTTTAGAAACATAAAATATTTACCTCACATTGTGAACATTATTTTGCTTTTTTGTGTCTTTTTATGCTATCCCATCTCCTACCCTATTCTCTAACTCCCCGAGGAGCCAATATTTTAGAACTATTCAGTAGCCTGCACCTTCACGGCATTGACAGGACACAGTGACTACTTAACTCACCACAGTTTTCCTGTTTGTCTTTTAAAACAGAAAGTACTTTGAGTTTACCTGTTCCAAAACAATGTTATGCCCAGGAAACTATGCAATCCTCCATGGAAAGAGAATTTAACACAATGTATCATAGTAAAAAGATCATTTTGCATCTTTAAGATGAACCCTGCCATGTGCTAATAGAGCTCAGGATCATAAAATTAAGAGTTAGAAAGCAACCTAAGTCTTATGGTCCATTGGTTCCTACAACTTTTCGTATAGCCCTTGAGAGGTTAAGAAAGACCAGTCATCATGCAAATTCACATAGCCACATTTAGGAACTACCTATCCATGTAGACGTCTCTACCGGTACAACCTTCAGACTTGTCAAAACACATAGTAGATTAACAACTATTAAGTGATTAAGATATACAAAGAAGATCATTTTGGCTGAGTTCCTATTCACTATATTAATGAGTAAAAGTTGATTTGAGGAGAAAAGAAAAGGAAGGAAGACACTAAGTAAACAGCTGGAAAGTTGAAAGGACAGGGAACGTTCATGTTCTTTTGTTTTTGACAAAATAGCAAAAGCAGCCAAATCTAGCATGGTGTAATCTTCCTTGCATGGAAAATGCATTTAGAATACTGAGAAAACAAGCTGTGAAAGTTGAGAAGCAACTGAACTACTACTTTTTGCTGACTTCAGGAAAAAAAGTCACATTACTGTATCAGAATTTGCTGTGGATGAAAAATGAGAGACTGGATGTGAATTCCATGATTCTCCCAGCAAAGAAAAATTAGAGAAAGAAAAGAATGTGATGAAAATGCTGGCTATACATTTTCTCACTATATGAAAAGAGTCCTCTACTTATTATTTCATCGCTACCTTTTATACAACCATTTTTATGTGGCACATAATTCCAAGGCTTCATGTTAGATATCCATTCAGCTACTAATGTACAGGAGAATCTGAAATACATATTAAACTTCAATATATTTCTTCCAGAGGGAATTAGTGAAAAAAAAAACCCTAAGCTCAATTTTTTTCTACGTTTTCAAAGAGTGCTCACCTTGATTTTCCCCAATATAAAATTAGAAGTATCAGTAAGGGATAAAATTGTCCAAAGTTCCCCTAAATTTGTTGTTTCCCATATATTGTTGTAAATTCATAAATGTGAATGAATAGGAAGACTACTCCTTCTGAACAAATGCAAGCCACAGTTAATGTCTTTTGGCTAAGCAACACTGAGGTACCCTTACAAGACATTTTTTCTAAAGACTTATGGAAAACGTTATCAAGTAATGCTCCCAGAAACTGACTGCTGGCTGATCATCAGATGTGCTATATACATTCTAGAAGTCCAGAAGAATGAGTTCTTCCACTAATTAAATTGAATATTAAATCATGGATGACATTAAAAATTAATCGGAGACCTAGTTATTTAGTAGCTACTATGTACTAAACCTGAAGATCTCTAGAGATTAGCTATTAGGATATAAGCCAAAAAATTTAATTAACATAATTTTCATACTCAGTCTCTGTCAGTTTTCCCATTAGATATCATGCTGGATCTCAGCCTCTTATTCTCACAACTTGAGG